AGGAGCCCCCTCCTCTCCTCCCCACCCCTCCTCCATTGCCATTTAGGAGTGAAAGCGGAACACATCTGGTGCATTGAGTCCCCGGGGGCGGGGCTGCCCCGGCCCGGCCGGCTCCAGCGGGGGCGCTAAGCGAGGGGGCTTTTCTCTGCCGGCAAGCCGAGCTCCGCCAGTCCTTCCCCGCGCAGCTGGATTTCCGCTGGGTGCAGATGTTGCTAATGGCAGCTTAAGCACGGATGGGCAGATAGCATATGGGATGCAACACGTTGCCATCTGGGCCGTTTAGCCCCTCACCTCCGAGAATATCAATCACAGATATTCCGGGGGAAAATGTAATGACTCTCGGAACAGGAAGATGAATCGCCTGCTACGATTTATATGCCTTGACCTGATGCTATGTAGCAATAAGATGGGAAATGGATCTCACCGGGTTTTGTTGTTTCGGGGTGGTTTTTGTTTTGTTTTGTTTTGTTTTGTTTTGAATCCAGGGAGCGTGTGACCAAACGGGGGTAGGCTTCAGCTAGGATAAACATCTCTTTGCATTTGTAGGATCCTGACAGCTGTCAAACGTGCCCGACGCTGAGGCGCGACCCGGCCTGCTCTCTCGCAGTGACAAGGGCCGGTGTGGGCTCCGCTGTGCTCACTACAACAAGTGACTGTAACTACAAAAAGTCCCAATGCCAGCGTGAAATATTCTGATTTTGAGCAAAGCTATCTTGATCTGCACTGCATATTTCTTTTAGGGACTAGGAATAGGGACGGGGGGAGCAACATAAGGACTAAACTTTAGAGTACTTCAGAAAAACAATTGGGGGTAAAAATTAATCGCCTTTTAGCAGTTTCCAACACGTTTTATATTTTTAACCATGGGTTCAGTTGTTTGACTTTTTATGAACTAAGACTTTTTGACTTCTGAAGGCCTATTCATTCCCCACTGGGCCCCAACACACACATTTGAACACGCATGAAAATGAACTCTTCTTAAGGAAACAGGTATGTATGCATTATTGGTAGATCTTGCCCAATGATTGTTCAATATGTCTTGAATGTGCAATAACTTGTGCATTTATTGGTGCTCTATTACAAGTCAGTAGAAGGTCACCCATTGCTTTCAAAAGGTTATCTGATTGGGCCCAGCGAGAATTTGTAAATTCACTAGCTTTGTAATCTGCTTCAGTGTTATGATTTTAACCTTTTGAAGCCTGATCGTATCCAAAAGGAAGGTTTTGCACCTGTAAAACTCCAGAGTATTTATCCCTTGATTTCTACACTTACCCTGATGATTAATTTTTGAAGGACACTAATTTTAACATGTAATGTGCTGCTATCTTGTTATCTGAAATTCAAGATGGAAAGAAAATTAATAATTGTTCAAGGACAGAAAGCAAGAGGTATAATCCATCATGTACCTGTTGCCATTCTTTCTTATGTTGGGTTGTCAGTGACACATTTTTGTCCTAAATGAAGTTACTCCGCTTGCATATTAGTAACAAATACACACTGTAAGGTCTTTGGAGATGGAGACTGCCTCTTCATTGTGTTTCATGTGCCCTGGGGCCCTGGCTTCTGGTTGCTACTATGAAGGCAGGGATTGTCTCTTCATTGTGCTTGATGTGCCCTGGGGCCCTGGCCTGTAGTTGGTATTTCTAAAAATAATAGTGTGTACACATATGCACATGCACACACATTGTGTGTGTGTGCAAATTCCATGTCCTTCATCTGTAAGATAAACCTCAAGTTATTAAAAACTGTTCAATATGTTAAAAGATGACCTTTCACTCTCAAAACGTACAGAAAAATACATGACCTTCCCTGAACAGGAAAAAGGCACCTGGTTTAATTAATGTATTATATATGTATATCATGCAAAATCCTACTGACGGTATGAGGTTTGCCTTTGTCTCCACATAGCAGACCAGAAAAACAAAGCTCTTGTTCTGATAAATGGGCCTGAGCCAGTTTTCATTGGCGTCAGTAACACAGTATTGAGCCCCATTTTCTTGTACCTCAAGGCAGGGTTTCAATTATGAGAGAGTTCAGGGGGCTGAGCCCTCCCATAAGAAACAAAAGCACCCCTGTAAGATTTGAGAATCATAACCTGGGGTGGGGGGTCTCTGATTCTGTTAGGGCATTGTGCTGGGCAGCCCAATATTTTTTGCAGACCCCCCAAAAAGGCAAAGTGTAATTCCAGCCCTGCCTCAAGGGCTGTCCATTAAGACATGTGGAAGTGAAGTCTGAGTTGCCTATATGCGAAGTAAAATTTTGCTTCAAGCATATTCCTGTTGCCGACAGGGATACAAATAATGTAAACCTCAAAATTGCCACTTTGCAACAACAAAAAAGTTCTAATCTTTTAAAACTGATCAGCATACCTTTTAACAAAGTATTTTTTGTGGGTTTGTTTAAAGAGGGTTTATATTGGATTAATATTTAGACATGCAAGTGTAAGTATGTGTATGAATGGATTAGTGTCTTTTTTATAAAAACTATTGTTGTCATAAATCCTACAGTTAATCCTCAACTCTAGTGTACTTGATTCTTACATGATCTCCCTACTTACTATCTATGACTTCTGGGTGCAGGGCTTCAACCCCCCCCCCCAAAAAACAAACAAAAAACCCCTCCAAAACCCAAATTAACCTTTTATACCTATTTCCTTTTTCTTTTTTTAAAAAAAGCATATTCTTCTATAGGTGGTAGCAGTTCTGATCTTTTGTCCTTTTACTTTAAACTAATTCTACTTTTATATGCATCCCACTTATGAATTGTATAGAAGGAACATTGTGGAACCCTAGTTAACATCCATGCTAACCTTTTTTACTTAACCCTGTAGTCTTTACTAAGTAAAGAAAGCTCCCCATTGAAGTCAGCAGAAAATCTTGACGGAGTAAGGGCTGCAGGCCTATGAAGTGGCTTACTTCCAAAATCAGTCATATACAACATATGTCAGTGTTGTTCTAATGAACTGAAGAGGGAATGGTTTTAAATTATGTTTAGATATATGTCTTCTAAAATTCAGACTTAGTGCCAGAAAGAGTTCCCTATTCACATACCTCTTAAATAGAGAGTTGAATGGAACACCAATTGCACAATGATGTATCCATGTACATATATGTGTGTGTGAGTGTATCTATGTGTGTGTGTATAAAATTTTGTATGGGCAGGAAAGGATAAAGGAGTTAAAGAATTCCAACACCATATATTATGGATTTTAAATACATTAGTTTCCTTATAGTGACATCTGATTGCATTGCAATCATAGCTACTTGCTTCTCTTCACACTGATATTTTAAAATATTTAACACTTCTATATTTCATTTTAATGTAAAGGCCTTGACAATAAATGACTGGAACTTTTTTGAACATGGAAGCTAGATATAATGACTCTGTACAATAATAGTTCAGTACATTTTTGTGTATAACATTGCAGAGTTCCTCCCATCTTGCACTTTGAGAATTCATTTTTATTACTCAACTGACAAGTTGCTGCTTATCTAGAATGGTTCATCCTGTCAAATTACAATTACTTACATAACTTCACATTCATATTCAGTTTTTAGTTTATCTTTTAGTGAGGGCAATATGTAAATATAATATAAAAGTGCACTTCATAGTTAATACTTTACAAGAAGATTGACAGTTGTTTTAATTAAATGTGTTCTTTGGGCTCCTGTATTTGGATACCAAAATACAGCATTTCACCACATTTATAAAATTGTGTTTGCATTTATTTAATTTAGGTATCTTTTTTAACGCGTGTAGCCTTGAATGTTTGTTCTCCATTTTTTTTTCACATCATTACTCTGATACTGCTTGATTAGCTCCCTCCCCAGTCATGATTGGTAATTAAAATAGGCATTAAAATTAGTCACTTAGCAATTTTGCTGTTCAATTGGCAATTAAATTACTTAATTGCAATTAAAGTCCTAATTTTAATTGGCAAAATGATAGATGTAGATTTAAGATAATATGTATAAATACTTTAATAAGTGTCTATATAAGGATTACTTAATTACTCAACTTCAAGTTTATGCTGTTAACTTTAGAACTTTTAAGTGAGCAATGAAATTTATATTACATCTATTCTAAGGATATGGTAATTAGGTGTATTACTTATCACTATAAGGGTTTTTGCTATAAGTTACTTCTGTAGCTTTTAAAATTGTATCCTGGGCCAGCCATTGTAATTGTACATGTTCTATGTTATGTATCCTTTTAGGTCTTTGATCCAGCCTGGCTTTCACTGAACTGGTACCTTGTCCTACTGAAGCAGTCTAGGGTTATTCATAGGTGAGACTGAACCGTCATAATTGCAGGTGAGAATAACTAGATCCACATTTTATACAAAGAATATACAGTGATTATAAAGTTATTAGCTTTTTTTTCTTTTAAGAAGGATTCAAGGACACACCATTAAAGTTGTTGAATGAATTATTACCTTTGATTGTAGATATGTTGCCATAACTTTTTTGATACCTTAGTGAAACATGTAACAGCTCGCCAATTTAAAACTTAAATCAAATACTATGTTTATACCTGTTATTGTTCTTGATTTCAGCATGTTTAATTGAATAAAGACAAACAATTTGGACCTCATGTTCATTTTTTTAACTGTAAATTTAATTTACAATTAAAAAAGTATTTTAACTCTTAAATTGGAAACACTTTCAAATGGAATTTTTGGCAAAACTTAGGCATACATGCAAACCTTATTAGGGAATGATCACCCTTTGCCCAGCTGTTCCATTTTTGCACAGTGCTTTCGGTCTTGATAGCACTTTTTGTGCAGTTCTATTCATTCTGGTACTCTACGCATATCTTATACATGTATTTTTTCTAAGCTGAGTTGCATTAACTGTAATCTACTGAAAATCATAATCAAAAAGTTTTCTATACACCAAAAACAAGGTGAAAAAGAATAATGCATGCAAATGGACTGAAGAGCTGCATCATACTCTCACAGCAAAAATACTAACTTGCCTTATTCTTGAACTGTTTTAGTAGAAAACCATGAAAAAAATTTATATGTGATTTTTTTTGTAATACACAAATTTCATTGCAGCAGAGAACTCCAGAGAATTGCTGATTTTCTTCCAAAAAAGCCACATTCTTACAAGTGTCTGATACTGCACAGGCCAAATTCTCATTCTGGAACTACCGCTGCAAAGCTACCTCTCTTGGCTCCTAGCTGAGTGGAAGTCTAGATTTCTAAAATATTCGTAATGAAAGATGTAATTTCACTCTAACTTTGCTCATAAATTTTGCTTTTTTTCAGAATTATTTTCCTGCCGTGAGTCCCACTGAATGAAGTAAGAGTTGTGCTATTGACATCAGTAGGCATAGAAGGTGACACGTATGAAATGTTTTTAACATGTATGAGATAAAAGGCTTTCTTGAAATTGTTTTTAAATTATTGACTTGAAAGGTCCCAGAATCCTAAGCTGCATTTTTATTTGTATATGTGATAGTATAATAAAAACATAACAAAATACCTGTCCCCCTTATATTGGTCTTCATTTGTTTGCACATAATAGTAAATATTATCAAAATTATTTATATCATGTAATGTTTCTGCTTAATTTCACATATCCACAACTTAAAAGCTAAGGAAATATGGTGCATTTTTTCATTCTTGCACTTATCAGCTGACCTGTTAATATTTTGTTTTAAAAGCTAGGAAAAAAATGTTTGGGATAAAGAGAGAAAGACCATAAGTAAAATTAGCACTGAAGGGAGGAGGAGAAAAGGTGCACCAAGATCAGGCACCAACCATTTCTCCTACAAACAGACTCAGAGCAGCATAGTTTGGCTTCACTTCTACACAACCTTCCACCTGTTTCATAAAGGATTTGCTTTAATCTTTTTTCAGATGTTTTATTTCCTTTTCATTTCTCAAGAGGAAGTAGGACTCAAGTAAGTGCTGTCTTCTAAGTACAGGTAGACTTCTTAGACTCTTCCCTTTTGGCAATAACCTTTTCAGGGGAAGTCATTAGGCTTCGGGCCTAATCCTCCCCGTGACGGGACACCTGCACCTGCCCGGAGCCTAGAGGCCCTACCGAGAGCGTGACGGCCTCCGGGCGGGCACCGCTTCCTCGCGTGGGAAGACCCCGCAGGCCTGTCGCGAGTGACCCCCTTCGGCCTCAGCTGCCGCGAGACTGCAGGGAGGGGCGGCTCCGGGGCACGAAG